TTAACGGTAGAATTTTTGAAAATTTTTATAATTTGTAAAAAATCACTTGAACAATGAATATTAGAAATCAAATTGAAACTTAAACGCCATATTTTTAGGACCTGGCAAGGTGGTGGTCATTATATTGCTATGTGAATCATATACCGTATTATCCCAACCTGTACTGCGCGCCGTTACTATCAGACATATAACACAGATTTCCCCTAGGTGGGATCATTATCGTCAGTGAATTCACGTGTTCTAAAAATCGCAGAGCGATTTTTTCAAATTATTTTAATTTAATTTTAATGCTATACTTAGCATTATCCGTCACGGATTGAGAGGTCCCAGGTTCGAATCCTGGCTGGGGTAATAGTTTTCGCAATAAGAATTTTAATTCAATAGGGGAAAGGGTAAATTTATAATCCAAAATTTCATAAGTTTTATCGATCTACACTGGCTATAGCGATTTTTGTTGACCGTATCAGGCTATTATAAGAATTTTAATAGCCTGATACGGTCAACAAAAATCGCTATAGCCAGTGTAGATCGATAAAACTTATGAAATTTTGGTTTATAATTTCTGGCGATATATAATTACCACTCTAAATTTATAATGCTAAGTATAGCATTAACATTAAATTAAAATAATTTGAAAAAATCGCTCTGCGATTTTTAGAACACGTGAATTTACTGACGATCATGATCCCGCCTAGGGGAAATCTGTATTATATGTCCGATAGTAACGGCGCGCAGTACAGGGTGGGATAATACGGTATATGATTCACATAGCAATATAATGGCCACCACCTTGCCAGGTCCTAAAAATATGGCGTTTAAGTTTCAATTTGATTTATATCAGAAAAGGACCGAGAAAATATTAATTGTAATATTAGAAATAGTACGTATAAGTATTTCTTTATTGTCAGTAATTTTGTAATGGTGCATTCAAGTAGCTCTATCTCGGAAACAGTGGGTAATAGGACATATATTCATATGAACATTTTTGCTCAAAATGACCGATACTATCACCTCCCAAAATATTGACCTTTCCTCCTGAATCACCCTATATATGTATGTATAAACTAAACCCTTGTAACGATTATCGTCAAATACAATACCAGCCATCTTTTAATGACATTCTATTAATATGCCAAAGTAGAAGGCGATATCTCAAACATTACGGAAGTGAGAGTGCGTACAAAAATACGGACAAAAATCTGCACAGATTTTAAAAACCTGTTTTTTACAATGTTTTACAACATTCTAAACATAATGGCATTGAAAACTGAAAAAAATTTTTTCACGAAAACAAAGCTTCTATGAGGAAGCAAAAAATGCTGTAAGAGCATGCGAATCGATTTGTTCCTTTCTCGGCGAAGGTGTTGTATCGTACGATGTGTGCGCATTTTGCTTTAGACGCTTTAAAAGCGGCGATTTCAGTCTGACAATGAGTGACAAACAATGCATTGGGGGTCCTCGAAAATGCGGCAATGATGATTTGAAGCAACTTCTCGCTGAGAATTCAGCGCAAACGCAAAAAGAGCTTGCAGAGCAGTTAGGAGTAACAACAAACTATTTCCAAACGCCTACACGAGATGGGAGATTCATAAAGAAGGAAAATGGGTTCCGCATGAACTCAGTGAAGCCAACAAAAATCAGAGAGTAGCAGTATGTCTTTCTCTTCTCAATAAGCAGCATAGAAAGTCTTTCTTGTGTAAAATTGTTACGGGTGATGAGAAGTGGGTACTTTATGACAATCTAAAACGCAGAAAATCATGGGTAAATTCTGGCGAACCCTCAACATCGGGTGCGAAGCCGAATCGCTTCGGAAAGAAAGTTATGCTCTGCATTTGGTGGGATACCAAGAGCGTGATTTATTATGAGCTATTAGAACCGAATGAAACAATTACTGCGGACCGCCACCAAGATCAATTAATCCGTTTGAGTCAAGAATTACAACGAAAACGCCCGTATACTGGCAAAGAAGAACGTCCTGTGAAATTGTTGCATGATAACGCTAGGCTACACGTTGCTTCTACGACAAAAGACATCATAATGAGTCTTGGCTGGGATGTTTTGCAGCACCCGGCGTATTCACCAGACATCGCTCCTACCGATTACCACTTGTTCCAGTCGATGCAACATGTCTTGTCCGATACGCATTTCAAATTAGTAGATGAAATCCGAAAATGGCTCGACGACCTTATCGTATCCAAAGACACAACATTTTTTCGAGGTGGAATTCATCAATTACCTGACAGATGGCTTAAAGCTCTAAAAAGCAACGACGAATACTTTGATTGACACATTTGTTTTACTTTCTTTTAAAATAAATCTTAAATATTGCTGAAAAATTTGGATTATTCATTTGTACATCTAATAATATTAATTTTTTATACATACATATATCTATTATTGTATCTTATTATTGTGTTCATAAAAGTATGCTGATAAATCCATCGAATAGCGAATATTACTAGGTATTTCATATTTTATTGTGATATATTTTTATATAAAGTAGGAAATATTACATTTTTATATAAAATAGGAAATATTTCATGAAATATTAAGTTTGTCATGAATATTATATTTATATACAGAATATGTACATTGTAAACAATTAATTTATGTAAAATAACTCACAGATAAATTTAATATCGTCAGTAGTTAAAAATCAATGATATTTAATTTTAACGACTTACACCGGCTAATGTTTCTATTTAAAAACGAAACACGTTACAACGTTTCGGTCCCAGATTTGGACCTTTCTCAAGTAATCTGAAATCATACAGGGTGGTCTAAAAGTCCCGGAACGGTTGAATATCCCGAGAAATTGTGGGTGGATCGGAAAAGGGAAAAATACGTATTTCCTATTTTTGAAAGAGCTATCGAATGATACCAAAATTGACCACCCCACCCCCACCCCTGTGGGTGGGGCGGGGGACAATTTTAAAATCTAAAATGGGAACCCCCACTTTTTATAACAGATTCGCATTCCACGTTAAAAAGTACGTAAGTTTTGTCTGAAACATTTTTTTATTTGCCTAATACTTTTTGAGATGTTCAAGAGAAAATTTATAACTTTTTCAATGTTTAGCTTATGATATTTCGATAACTGTTTGTCAGAGGGAAAAGTAGTACAGGACTTTTTTACTTGATTTGGTCTCAGGAATATGCTGCCAATACCACTATGTTAGTAAGCTGTGTACATACTGTGTATGTATTGGCCAAACAATTAATGTGATCTTCAATAATTTTGTAACAGGTATGAATGTTTGTGGCTTGTTTTCGTTGTAATTATTTTATTAAGCAATGTTCGTGCAGAGTTATATATAATTTTAGATTACTTGAGAAGGGTCTAAATCCGGGACCGAAACATTGTAAAATGTATTGTTTTTTAAAATGAAAACACTGGCCCGTGTTGGTCGTTAAGATTAGATATCATTATTTATGTAAAATATACAAACGTTTTAAGTTAAAATAAAAGTAATTTTGCGGGCACTAGCTAAGGTGAAAGTTACGTCGGTTACCGTTACTTACGAAATTAAGTAATTTTTATGAAAAATTATTTTTATATAGTTTCAAATTTATGAGATATCATAGTATGATCAAAATAGAATACATGCAGATACACAGGCACATTCTTTTAAGCGCACACGCAAGCATATATTTGCACGTGTGCGTTTAAAAGAATTTATAAAAATATTTATTTTTGAACTTTTTCATTACGTTTAGTGCATGCGATTTCTGCGAAACACCGGTGAATGATTCAAGAATTACGTCATCGTGTCAATGTGTCATAAGTGACGGATTTGAGAAAACAATATTTTCTATCAATCGCATGGTTCCAGGTCCAAGTATTCAGGTATAGTAATATATCAAGTAATAATACAATAGAATCTTTCATTAATATAACAATTGTTTTATTAAGAGGATTCCTCAGCCATCTTTTTACTAACACAATCCAATATAGGGTTTGCGCTTGTAAATATTTTTATTAGTTTTTATTCACAAAATAATACCAGGTTAAGTTGCGGTCCACATAGCAGAACATTTCCAAACTTAAAACACTCACAATCAGTTCAGAAGTTTAATAAAAAATAACAGCTCCACAAAAAGTTATCTGGGCCTAAGACCACATAAGTGTATACTTATGTATCTTAACCTGCTAAATCTGAATCCGAGGTCAGAATTGAACAATTAGATATATCGTCCCTAACTACAAAAAACCGCATAATTTCACGAAACGGGCACTTTTACTAGACGTACCCACCCCTAGGTCTGCGGAACTAAACTAATATAAACATGTTTTTTTACAACAATTAAAGGGTTATATTGACAATAATTGGCATAATATATTTCAAATGATACACAACGTTTCGACCAGTAATACTGGTCCTTCTCAAGTGTCACCCATTAAATGTGACAGCAAAAAATCAACAAAAGAATTAAATTGTAGAAGCTGAAATACAGAATGTGTGTATGTACAATATAAGAACCCACATAGCACAGCGACATCACAGTGATATCAGTGTGATATCTGTTTAAGGATATCCCATATCCCAGAGATATCTTGAGATGTCCAAATTACATCAGTGTGACATCACGGGAATATCCAAATGTCCGCCTTTTATCACATCTCAAGTTAATATCTAATTGTTAGTAATTTAATGGCCACCACCTATGCCAGGTCCTAAATGGCGTTTAAGTTTCAATTGGATTTATATCTGAAAAGGACCGAGTTAAAAATTAATTGTTATGTAATTAATATTGTTAATTACTTTTTAGGTTTGCAGAAACGACTACCTTATCATTGATTTAAAGAATGAAGCCGAAGGTCTTGAAGCGAGTATACATTGGCATGGCATTTTTCAAAATGGATATCAATATTATGATGGCGTACCATACTTGACGCAATGTCCAATTGGATCAGCTAATACATTCAGGTACATAATAAGTAATAAAATATTTTTATCTTAATATTATTTTAGTCTTTTCATAGAGAAAATGACCAAAAAAATCGATTTATGTCAAACAAAGTTACAGTTATTGCAATAACAGAGAATCTTCATAAGTGAAAAAAATTATATACAAGAAGTCCAATTTATTTCTCTCAAAACAAAATAATCAAAGAGTGACAGTATAGAGTAAAAGAATCTTTTTCTTGCGTAAAAAAATTTTAAATAAAAGTAGTATCATAAGTAAATGTTTGGAAATATTGCTCCAGCAGGAGAATCGCGGTTTTTGTACGGCACTTAGAAGGGGAGTATCAAGTAGTGGCCTCACCGATTTTCTCGAACTTTATACGTATATGTTGTATTGATATACACACTTATAGTTGTGGGTCTCAAGGTGCTAGTTGACTATAGTGACAGCCGTTCGAAGTAGACGTTTCGAGACGCTACACGGAAAAAACAATGTAGCTGCTGTAGCTAAAACTTAGCAAAATAGGGACAGCTAATATTTTAGTTGTGATAGCTCAATATTTTGCTACTGTGCCTATTGTATTAGGTACGATTCCATCAGGACATTCAAGAAATGGAGCGTCGATATCAAGGGAGGTGGCGCGTTTTAATGCATTTTTTTAGTTTAGGGAGAATTTGAGACCTGATGGAGCATTTCTGACCACGGATTCGTATTCAGCTGGTCAAAATACTCAAAAAAACATGTTCACATTATTTTAGTTCCGTGGACCGAGGGGTGGGTACGTCTAGCAAAATTGCCCGTTTCGTGAAATTATGAATTTTTTGAGGTTAGGAACGTTAAAGCTAGTAATTCTTCAATTCTGACCTCGGATTCAGATTCAGCGGATCAAAATACATAAAAACACACCGGTCTGGTCTTAGGGCCAGACAACTTTTTTTTGTGGGGCTGTGTAATTTGTCTCAGTAATATTATAATATTTCTTTTATTTCTTCCGATAAAATTTTATGCTCGATTGTTTGGATATAACATTTTAATATAAAAAATCATAAAGTACCTAGTTTGTATAAATGTTCTGTTTAGTTGGCGCCATTTTATGATATCATTACTTTTGTGGAGAAGATACTTGGAGGAGGGGGGGATAGAGAAGATAAAAATGTTCTTTTCTAATAAAAAATATCCAAATAATTAAATAATTAAATAATATAATTCTTGATTGGATGACGCTTATATACTTGGCGTCTTTTTTACCTTTTTTTATGTAAAAGATTATTTTTTAAGGTGATAAATATTACCCCAGCCAGGTTTTGAACCTGGAGTTCCCTACGCGCTAGGCGGGCGTCTCAACCAATTCCTCGGCATATGCCTTGGTGGTCGAATTGATTGAGACGCCCACC